GCAAAATTTTGTCGCGTTTGTTCATGACTACGGTTTTTGTTCCTTTGTCGGCCTTTTTGAGGTTTAACTCAGAGTCAGGTTTCAAGGCCCTCAGTGCCTTGCGTTCAGCCGGAAGCAAATTATCTTTTGGCTTTGTAATTTCTATTTCTGAAAAGTCACTTTTAACCTCTTCTAAATAGCTTTAAGGGCTACTGATTTTTTGTATTGTTGGTATCCATGTAGATTTGACGTGGCAGGGATGGGTTTTTTTGTCCTCCCCTCAGAATATGTAAATCAGACGCATTCTCCTTGCGAACTGATCAAAGTCACACAATAGTTGTTGTCTGACCTGTTTTTGTTTTGTAGCAGGTGTTGGAATGAATTTACGCCCTTTTTCCAGTAAATTAACCTGGTCGTTTGTAAGTTCTTTATTTGAGAGGTTTTTTATGTGCGTTTTGCTCGCCTCTAGTTTGATAGTTGAACGTGTTTGGCAAGACCACGGTTTCGATCCTAATCTTGTGGATCTCGTCAGCTTCCAATTCACTGAATAGACTATTGCACCCGTACGCAATACAATGTCTAACCATGACGAGAACATGCTGTATCCTTAAGAAAAGGAATAAAAATGCCTCCAAACGTAGCCGTTTTCTTCGATTTTACTTGAAAATTTTACCTGTGTGACAGATAGCCTCGTTTCGAAACTTCAAAGTCCGCTGAGCTCTCGTACAGTGGGCGTAAATGCGACAAGGGCTATTCAGTTCGATATGAAAAGCAAATATTAAACACGAAGGCGCGCTATAAAAGGAGAGGTCCCTTAGGTGCCTGGTAGACGAACAAAAGGAGCTTACGCGATGTTTACTTTCACCAGCATGGTGGCAATGATGTAACGTGCGAACCACCACCTTCGATTTTAAATTTACCGCCACAAATAAAGACAGTTTACATTGGAGAAAGGAAATACAAATCTCAAAAATTCTTGTATTGTGATGAACTCATAAAATAATTTTGAGGAATGCGCCCGCTGTTCACTGCTTTGGATTAGCTATAGCTAAAGCTGACTTGACTCTTCGAGTTCTACATCACACGACGGTTGATTAACAAATGGTCCAGAGGTACCTAAGGCACCTCTCCTTTTCTAGCGCGCCTTCGTCAGCTTCGTCTTTAGCGCGTCTCAAAGACATATATTTTTCTTTTTATGAGATGACCCGTATGGTCCCCGTGCGCTTTTGCTGGGATTGGAAACATTAAACTTATAAAATCTCTCAGCTGGATGGCGGCAATGGCGTGAATAGCGTGCCGTTTCTCGAAAGTCTCGGTAACTTAAAAGAGCCATAACTGTGTTTTAAAATCGATTTTAAAGAATAGGAGCGTATGTTCTGGCACCCTAACCAGTTCATTTTTTTCCTTTAGCTGTTAGTTTTATAATATTATTTTCAAAAGTTTTGAAACACCCATCTTGATCCAAAACAAAACTATTTTACGGGCACGTTACGTATACGTTGCAGGCCCGTCGAGAAACGGACCCCAGGCTGAGCCGGTAAAAGACGTACGGCCTCGCAAGATAAGAGCTGAGAAGAAAAAAAAAAAAAAGAAAGATGACGAGGTAGGGACGGTAACATATCCAGCTCTCAGTCAGGAGTGATTCGAAAAATTAAGCGCAGCCGAAAATACTTGTTGAAGTCATGATAATCGGCTTGTGATTAGTAAACTTTTCTCGTATTCTCCCGACATCTCGAGTGGCTTTATAACGTTATAAAGCCCGGAAAAATGTATTCTATAGCTTAAATCAGCACTTACCCTAGTTTCTCGGATATAAGGCGCCCGGTTTTTTCAAGAAAATTCTGTCTTAGGGTGGAAAGTTAGTACTGAAATTGGGGTGCGTCTTATAGCCAAGTATTTTTGCGCAACTAAATCTTAAGATCACAACTTTAGTAGAACTTTCAGTTAAAAAGACAAGAAAAGGACACTAATTGTTGGTCATTGAACTTTTTAGATCTGGTGGCTCTGAAAGGAGCACCGTTTCTTATTCGCAGCCTCCGTCAAATGAACACGAAACGAATCCCACACGAGCAGAATTTTTCGGCCTGAGGTATAGCGAAGATTGGTTAGAATCCAGTCCTTTATTCCTATGAATTAAAAAGGAGTACTGCTTTTAGAACACTAATCAACTTTCATAGAAAAGCAAACAAACGTTAATTTGCAAACGTTCTTGACAGCACGTGCTCGCTAACATGATATCCACGACAACAAAACGATCATAAATTTTCCTCTCTAGCCTTTTGATGATGATCGAAGCGAATAATGAATGTTTGTTTTAATTCATTTCATTCCTCCTCATCCTTGAATTGTTACAACTTGATTTGATTTCCATAGCTTTCGCTATACCGTTATTTCCTGTCACAATCATACAAATTAAGCCCGTTATTACATGTATTGTTGTAGTCGTTGTTGTAAATGTATAATAGTGATACAATGTCCGATAACCTAGCTAGGCGAAGAGGGCTTCTTGGCTTGCATATATTGTATAAGCCTAGCTTATGGTATGTCAGACATCTGTTCGAGCGCCCTACGATTTAGTGTCGTTAAACAAAAATAAAAAAGAAGAAAGAAGAAAATATCACAAGGACTCAAATTACAAATCAAATGACATGAAGGGGGAACACGCATGAGATCTAGTCGCGACTGGCTTTAGTTTTGAATCTGATTGGCTGGGAAAGTGGCGCGAGTTTTAAGACCAATGACACAGTATAGTACAGCGATACCTAAGTGATTCTAGGTTAACTGTTCAAAATGCGATCATTTTGAAAAAAATACGTAAACGCCTCAGCGCAGACCGACACTAATGAGCCTTTTATCGACTGAATGGTGGCCATTGGTGTTAAAGGCCACACCTAAGTAACTCGAACTGGTTGATGCAGTACGGAAGTAGGGGGAGACAGTATCGCCACACCAGTAACCACACTGCTTGTAACAACTTGTGTAACCAGAAACGAAGAAGCCACTGTAGAATGAGTCATCACAGATCAGCAGCTGGTAAGAGTAGGCATCGGTCACTCCCACACCTTCCCACAATTCATACGCAGAAGCGCCATTCCCATAATTTAAATTTGCCGTCATAGACTGGTTGGTTTTTCGTTTGAAGTATACTTTAGCCAAAGTTTGACGATCCAAGAACATGATCTCTGTAAACTGAAGAAAAAAAAAATGATATTGCCTCGTATTCTATGGTGTGAAATTCCGAGGTTTTTTTTATAGCCTCAGTCCAGGTTTTATGTGCTACACTATTCTCGTTAGTTATTTAAGTACAGTGTAAATATAGAGCAGCAACCCATTTTCCGTGCAGGGAATAGACATGTGCATACGAAATGAGTCATAACGAAAAAAATTGTTCAAAAAATTCCTCAATGAATTTAATATAAAATACTAACAAACAATTCTGTACATTGACATACTTATGTGTGCGACATGCAATGAAATAAAAATGAAACAGTATTTGGAGATCCATGGGAACAGATACTAAGCGATCCATATTCATAGAGATGATAAGTTACTCAATCAGCTTACAGGGATGTTGTTACAGTTGGTCCTGTAGCCGTCACTTCCGTAAGGAAACTGAGCGTTATATGTGACTTCTGTCCTGGGTTTGACATATTCATGGGTAGTGTAACACATGGTCCAACCTCCGTTGTATGACGTCATATCACAGTAGGCCCAGAATGCATTAGAAAGACTTCCTTCATCCGGGTCCAAAAGATACATACCATCTCCCACAGAGTCACCTCGGCTCTTGATATCTTTGCAGTCTTTCCTAAGAGCTTGTGAAAGGAAAAAAAAAAACAGGAGATAAAGTTACTCGCGTCCATAACGATATTAGTGAATGAAGCAACAAGATATAATCTTAAGTATTTTCGCCTAAGGAAGACAATCTCCGGATGGTAATAAGCTTAGTGAGCAAATGTCAACACACCTATTTGACAGAGCTTTCCCCTAAATCCTGGAGAGCATGCGCACTGATAATCGTCATCGTCGTACTTAGCCACGCAAGTTGCACCATTCATGCAAGGATTGTTGGAGCAAGGGTTCTGTTTTAAGTGAATGACTTGTCAGTAGCATAAAACAATATCGAGGACTTATTATTCAATTGAACAGCTATATCAAATGACGGTCTGTGATTGGTGGATACGAAGGTTAGACAAATCAGGAGAAGGTGGACTGATGAAATTAGCTCGGCATGGATATTCTCGAATTCTCTTAGCAACTATAATGCTGTAAATTTATTGCACACAATTCCTCTGACAACAAATAAATTTGCACCGACCAAGATACTGACGTGGTTGAAAATCGGGCTGTAGATAAATTTATCTGAGTTGTTATACTTGTCCGATGGAAGTAGTTCACACAGCAGTTTTCCATTGACATCGGAAAATGTAGCCAGGTTGTAAGAAAAACATAAAGAGGCTTCCAAACAGGAAAATCCACACTCGCTGCCATCTTGGACAAGTTCTGAACCGATTCTTGTGATGTTCAGGTAGCTAAACTGTTCGGTCTTCAAATTGAAGTAAGAAACGCCTCCTTGAGATACTCGGTTGATACCCGCTGAAGCGAAAGGAAAGCGAATTAATCGTAGAGTGAATAAACAGAAAGGAAGAACGTATCCATACAGTATTGAAAAACAAATTGTTAGAGAAAGAACCTTGTGTCATGGCCAGTCCAAACAAGATAAAGGTCAACTTCGTAAAAAGACAGCTTCTTTGTTGTGGAAAGATGTGTTTCATTTTCCAGGCTTCAGTCGATTATTCATCTGCAGCACTATCGAAGAACGGTTTTACTCTGACGAAAACAGGAAGTTTTAAACTACTTCTGGCAAGGACTATAGCGTTATTATTTTTTTTTTTCAAATAATACATTTCTATTGGCCGAAGCAAAGTCAATATTATACTCGTAATGACAAATAATGAAAAGTGAATGACAAAGAGGTAGGCAACTTTGGCAGCATATAGATCACCCTTGTCACTTTTTTTTTAAGGAATCTTTATCCAAATTCGGAGCTAAACAATAGTAGTAATGGACATTATCAAGCTTACTCCTATTACGCTTTCCTCCCATGTCCTAGATTGGGGTTATGACGAGATTATGTTCTGCAGCTGATAATGATTGTCTGACGTAAAATAAATATTTGTGGTCGCTAGTTTTTTCGTAATTCTGGCATTTATTATAGGGGTTGTCGTTGCAAGCACATTAAGCTACATTCATCTAATATCGGTTAATTTTGGAATTTAACAAGGTATTTTCAGTAGTCGTTTGTTGATGTAAGGTAAAATTTTTCAGAGAAACCATGGAGCTGCAGACTTTTATTCAAGGCCAAACAAAATAGTCAATTTCGTCTGGGTGGTCTCTCCAAGAAGACAAAAGGGAACGAATGGGCCAATATTTTTTTAAAAAAAAAAATAATTATAAGTTCCTCTGTGAAATATTTAGTTCTTATTAACCGAGCGGGAGGTCTGTATAGGAGAATCTTGACCGAGGTCGCCAGTACAGACCGAACGCAGTGAGGTCTGTACCAGCGACCAAGGTCAGGAATTTCCCATACAGACCCACCTAGCTTGGTTAATAAGATGTGTATTATATGGCTGTGTCTTGTATGCCAATTTTTTATATTCTTTGTACCTTTTTTTTCTAGACCGCTCTAGATGCCGGTCTAGATGGGAAAATCTAGACCGCTTTCAATATTGATTTGAGCCAATCAAATTCGTGAATTCGGTAGTTCCCAGTCCTTGTGAGATACAACCATATAATAAGATTGTAGAATAAATGAATTCATAGACAGCTCTGCAGTGTTTAAATCATAAAGCCATCAAGGAAAATTGAATGCCTCCAAGCTACCAGTGCATGGCGTCAAATTGGAGACAACTTTACAGGATAATTAATTTGCGGTTACCGAACTTGTTGTGACGCAAGCGTGTAAAAAGTCATTCCAAAGATACAAATTTAAACAAAGCCTTTTGTTGAATTGCATTATAGTTTTCGAGAGAAGACTTCATGCCAGCTTTCTGTTTCAAAAGCCCTGAGAGAGAGCTAAGCAAATTGGCCCACGTTTTCGCTCTAAACATTAGTTGCGTCAAAGATACCAAAAACAAAACGGAGCATTTTGGCCAAATTCAACAAATTGAATAAATGAATAAATGAATCATAGAATTTCACCCTGAGCTCATTTTAATTTGCAAACGATTAATTAGCAACTTTAAAAACGAAACGTATTTTTTTTAATGGCGGTCTCAGGTTTGTGAGCGAGAGTGAATACACAATGATATCAGTAAAGACAAACGATTTTATTTCATCTAGCAATTCCAAGGGAAGTGTTGTCAGAATCTGTAAATTGAAAAACGTTTTACAAGGTTGAGAGTATTCTTAACACGAACCTTCAAGTTGCTGAGCCCCCTCCCCCTCTGAGAAATATAACAATAATATTATTATGAAATTTTAAATACATTTATGAATCAGTTCAAACAAAAAAAATTGAGTCTCACAAAATCTAGTGAGGGATATGTTTGCATCGCTCCGATGAAGAACAAAGAGTGGAATCAAGTACAAAGAATATATGAAAGACATACATCTGAACTGCGGTTATGTAACGTTTATGTGCACGATCCTCGCAGTAAAGTTAAGGATTGTTTCATGCTTAGCGTGCGTATATCGAGTTATGGATGCACGCGGGGAGTTTGGAGAGCATGGTAGAGTTTACAAATGTAACCAAAAAAACGTCATCAAAAGAGACGTTTACCATTAAAAGTCGCCAGAGACCAATTTGTAGTCTTCTTAGTTCTTGCTGAATGTCTTTGAGCTAAAATTTTCTCCAGCTCCAGTTCCGATAAATTCGGAAAACGGGCCTGTTGTGTTTCTTTTTCGTCGTGCTTGTTGACTTGACTACTTGCGGGAAGGTCGAAAGCCAAAGAAAAGTTTGGTTGGTATTCCATTTACTGATATCGCTTTCCGAAACTCTAACTTAAGGAACTCACACGACGGAAATTTTGCAGCTATTTTTAAACTGCACACGTCATTTTATTGAGCACGGCCGTGCGTACATAAAGATTTTGTTCATGTTGACGCAATAGGAATTAGATAGGACTAGCGCGCGCGCAATGTTATAACACTATTTAAGCAATGGTGAGAATCAGACCTGAAAAAAATTCAGGCCTGTACGGGATTCGAACCACTGACCTCTGCGATACTAGTGCAGCGCTCTACCAATTGAGCTAACAAGCCAACTGGGAGCAGGTCATCAAATTAATTAGGCATAAACCCGTAAGATGATAAATCAAGTGGAATATACCATCAACACCAACATGCTTTCCAAAACCATTTAACTAAGGTGCGTTTGCACTTTTTGAAGTCTCAATCTTAAATCAAAATAGTGAATTCGAAAGATATTTATTTTTGCGGTGAAATCCTAGGGGCAGAAATTTAAAATGATTCTGCAACGGCCAGGGCTCATTCTTGTTAAATTACCTAACGCAAGAAGATACAAATATAGGTGGCAAATGGATATGACGCAAGGTGATTCTTGATGTGTAACAGCGACTCAAGTTTCACAAAGGAATGAGGCTATGAAGGCTTCTTGGCTTGAATATACTGTATTTACCTGCCATATGATAGAAAGCTTCTTAAAGCGCTGGAAAATGAGAGCTACTTAGTCGCAACTGGCTTTAGTTTTACTCTGATTCATTGGCACGAGTTTTCGGAACCAGTCAAATCAAATATTGGTTGACGCAACATGCTTGAATTCAGTCTATACAAAATCTGTTCAGTAGTCGTTCAGCTATTATTGATTTGGTATTTTAGACTGATATATTCCCTCGCTCAATGCACGAAAATTATATTTTCATTCTATGCCATTTATTCTTCTATTCCANTCAAATTGGCTGCGATTAGGAAAAAGTGCTCGTAAAAAAGAGGAGAAACGTCACGATCAGTACACGATAAAATAGCCTGACTCGTCCATTGTAAGACAAATGATTAAACCTTTAATTATCTATACAAAATCTGTTCAGTAGTCGTTCAGCAATCATTGATTTAGTATTTTAAGAAGACTGATATGTTCCCTCGCTCAATGCATGAAAATTATATTTTTATTCTGTGCCATTTATTCTTCTATTCCAGTTACTTTTCTTTTACGCAGCATTTCATTTTAATGAAATTTTATTCAGAATGCCGTTTGCGCGAAATAGAATTAACCAGATTTTAAAAAATGAGGAAGTTGAATCTCGAAACATTAAATCTGTAATGTAAAAGCGCAATCGAACAGTAATGCTAACAGTAATGTTTCTCGCGCTCACGGAAAAAGTCAAAAGAATAGCTTGCAGGTGTAACTTGCGGTAACGCAAAAGCGATTTTTAAAATCGGCTGCGATTAGGAAAAAGTAATCAAATCGGGACAAAAACGGAACCTACGCCCTTGTGAGTGGCCAAAATCAAGTTACAAGCGCTGCACGAAGTATCCTCAGGGACGTACGTTGTTCATTTGTTCACTGAAGAGGGTTAGTTTTCCTTTAATTTTGAACTTCTTCATGACGCCTTGTAAGGTTATTAAAAACCTGTCAAACTTCCCTCATTTTAACTTGGAAATATCAACAAAGTTGAAGTGGTAAATTGGCCACCGTAACGATTACAAAAGCTGACGTTTCGAGCGTTAGCCCTTCGTCGGAGCGTTAGCCCTTCGTCGAGCTTTAGCCCTTCGTCGAGCGTTAGCCCTTCGTCGGAGCGAAAGACGAAGGGCTAACGCTCGAAACGACAGCTTTTGTAATCGTAACGGTGGCCAATTTACCACTTCAACTTTGTTGATATATCCAAGTTATTTCGTCACTCCCACCGACGCAGCCCCAAACAGTTTCTTTCGAAACCATCAGCCTTTATTCCCTCATTTTAGTCGCGGAGTTCTGTTGAAACAAATTTTCATATGAGGAATATGCGTTCGGTTAAAATATTTGAATGTGAAGGATAGAAAATGCAACAGCTGACACTATGACTAACCAAACCAGAGGTTAACTACATTATTTGGGTTATTTCTGCCTGAGAATATAGGCTCTGAAAAGGTCCCGAAGTTACGAACTCTTTTTTTCGCTTTTTAATTGTCAAATGCTTTGATTCGGCATTGACTACTTTGAAACGCAGAATAAGTTCATTTGGAGGTATTATTGCTCAATATGTAAATGTAAAGAGAATTGCGTGCGAATCACGTTTTAACCTGACTTTTTATTTTGCTAGTAACTATTGGCTATCGTCAAATTTGTGCAGACCTTCCTTTGAATTCATTTCAGTGATCTTTAGCTGATTGTTGAAAACAAGTGTTTCGAATTTTAAGTGGTGTTCCATAAAGAAATTGAATGATGACATCCGCAAGAACAAATTGTTTCCTTCAATTCACAAATAATTTTGTCCTTCGATAGAAGTTAAGTCAAAGGAAAACGTTTAATGCATGGCCTTAAAATAAACACGTCGTGGTTAAATGAAACTACTCCTGAAAAGCTGAACTTCGCAAAATTGACTGAATGTGACATCCTCACGGTAGGATACGTCACCGAGCAGAAAAAAAGCATGACAAAAAAACCACAATACGTTAATGATTTCGGCTAGCTTTTCTTCCTCTGGTTATGTTTTTACGAAAGGATAAAGGCTGATAGTTTCTAAAGAAACTGTTTGGGGCTGCGTCGGGGGGAGGGGTAACGAAATAATTTGAATATATCAACAGAGTTGAAATGGTAAATTGGCCACCGTTACGATTATAAAAGCTGACGTTTCGAGCGTTAGCCCTTGGTCGGAGCGAAACATAGA